AAAAAAAAAAAAAAAAAAAAAAAAAAAAAAAAAAAAAAAAAAAAAAAAAAAAAAAAAAAAAAAGAAAGAAAGAAAGAAAGAAAAAAAAAAAAAACAGGCTGGTCCCAGGGCAGTGGTGTTTACAACTAATTGATCACAACCAGTTAGATTTCTTTGTTCCTTCGCCACTCCCACTGCTTCACTTGACTAGACTAAAATACATAAATAAATAAAATAAAACAAAAATTTAAAAATACAACTTAAAAAAGGAAAGAAAGAAAAAAGAAACGAGGGGAAGAGTGTGGGCCCCTGGAGACTGTTTGTTCCCTTCCACCCCGTTGGGCTTTGTACCCATTTAGACACCTGCCCCAGCTCCTCCCTTGCAGAAACTGGCATGAGTGTGGTGCAGATGGGAGTCCCTAACTCCCGAACAAGGACGTAGTTCCTCTGTGGGCTGTGGACCAGCATCCAGCTGAACCCTGGACTGGAGTTATGCGTGTTCCTGTCTCAGCCTGCAAGCACTGCCCAGTGCTCTGCCACTGCATCTGACAGAGCCAGGGGGCCAGGCCGAGAGGCTGTGTGCACCCGCAGGGCTGCCGAGCCACTCGCTGCCCCTCTGTTCACACTGCCTGCCAACACCTGCCCTGGAAGCCTGCTTCTCCTTGCTAAAACCAGTGTGAGGGCTCTAAAGAAAGAACATTACCAGTCCACTTTGTCGTCTGGATAAACCCTGTCCATGTACACAGGAGTTCTGCTTTCCACTATCCACATTTCCTCCAGAGCAGTAACTTTTTAGCAGTTACCTAATGTTCCATCCTCCTGATGTAGCACAACTAATTTACTAAGTATCACTATGTTGTAGGACAGGTTGTTTCTCGTTCTTTGCTAGCTAGTAACACTGTATCTGTATGAAACATTTTTTGTGCCTACAAAAATTAGCCTATGGTGGTGCACACCTGTAGTCCTAGCTACTTGGGAAGCTGACGTGGGAGGATGGCTTAGGCTGGCAGTGAGCCAAGATCCTGCCACTGCACTCCAGACTCTATAATAACATGAGACTCTGTCTCAAAAAGAAAAAAAAGTAGCTGACACTTACCAGATATTCGCTATAGGCCACATACTAGTCTAAGTGCTGAGTTTTTACTTTTTATTTTTTAAAAAGAGACAGGGTCTTGCTCTGTTGCCCAAGTAGTACAGTGTTGACCATAGCTCACTGCAGCCTCAAACTCCTGGGCTCAAACAATCCTTGTCTCAGCCTCCCCAATAGCTGGGATTACAAGTGCATGCCACCATATTCAGCCATTTTTTTTTTTTTTTGAAGACAGAGTTTTGCTCTTGTTGCCCAGGCTGGAGTGCAATGTCCCAGTCTTGGCTCACTGCAACCTCTGCTCCCAGGACTCAAGCAATTCTCCTGCCTCAGTCTCCCAAGTAGCTGGGATTACAAGGCACCCACCACCATGCCTGGTTTTTGTATTTTGCGTAGAGACGGGGTTTCACCATGTTGGCCAGGCTGGTCTCGAACTCCTGACGTCAGGTGATCCGCCCACCTTGGCCTCCCAAAGATCTGGGATTACAGTCGTGAGTCACCGTGCCCAGTCTTTTTTTTTTGAGATGGAGTCTGACTCTGTCACCCAGGCTTGAGTGCAGTGGCGCAATCTTGGCTCACTATAAACCTCTGCCACCAGGGTCCAAGTGATTCTCCTGCCTCAGCCTCCCAAGTAGCTGGAATTACAGGTGCACGCCACCATGCCCGGCAAATTTTGTATTTTTAGTAGAGATAGGGTTTCACCATGTTGGCCAAGCTGGTCTCGATCTCCTGACCTCAAGTGATCCTCTTGCCTCAGTCTCCCAAAGTACTAGAATTACAGGCATGAGCCACATCTTGGCTTTTTTTTTTTTTTTTTTGAGACAGAGTGTCGCTCTATCACCAGGCTGGAGTGCAGTGTCGCGATCTTAGCTCGCTGCAACCTCCACCTGCTGGGTTCAAGCAGTTCTCCTGCCTCAGCCTCCTGAGTAGCTGGGACTACAGGCGCATGCCACCATACCCAGCTAATTTTTGTATTTTAGTAGAGATGGGGTTTCACTATGTTGGCCAGGATGGTCTCGATCTCTTGACCTTGTGATCTGCCCGCCTCAGCCTCCCAAAGTGCTGGGATTACAGGCATGAGCCACCAAGCCCAGCCTTTTTTTTTTTTGAGATGGAGTTTCACTCTTGTTGCCCAAGCTGGAGTACCATGGCCTAATCTCAGCTCACTGCAGTCTCTGCCTCCTGAGTTCAAGCAATTCTCCTGCCTCAGCCTCCCAAGTAGCTGGGACTACAGGCATGCACCACCACACCCAGCTAATTTTTGTATTTTTAGTAGAAATGGGTTTCACCATGTTGGCCAGGCTGATCTTGAACTCCTGACCTCAGGTGATCCACCCATCTTGGCCTCCCAAAGTGCTGGGATTACAGGCGTAAGTCACTGCATCCAGCCCTGGCCCGTTTTTACTCATTTAATCCTCATAAAAAACCTTACAGTGAAAAGTTAGGGGAAGCAAGAGGGACATTAGGTGGGTCCCATGGTTTTCTGATTTTACAGATGAGAACTTCAGGCAGATGGACTTGTGGAAGTGACAAGGTCAAGTTTCTCACCAGAATCTGACCACAGTTCCTACTTTTCACCCAACAACTGCATTTGTGGAGGTCTCCATGTGGCAAGGAGTCGGATAAGAAATTCACAAACACCACTGCCTCTTATCCTCAGTACCACCCTGAGTCAGGGAACTTTTACAAGGGGGGAAGCTGAGGCATAAAGACAGGTCAAGAGACTTCCCAAGCATCACAGCCAATCCCAGACAGGGCCACGCTCAGAACCCAGGTCCATGCCACCCAATGACCAAGCGCTGGCAGCCGACCTGTACCATGCTCTAGAGCCATGGCTCTGCTGTATTCCCAAAGGGCTGTGCAGTTCACAATGTCACCAACAGAGGGCCACCTGCACGCTCACTAGGGAGATTTCCATGATCTGGAGCGGGCTCTGGCTTCTTTCACCGACTCCCAGCAAAATGACCATTTTTCAGGTTTACTTTCTACTTGAGTTCTGTTCACGTTCGTTAACTGGTCATATCCATGTCCCACTTATCATCAGGATCTTAGCGGGCTCTCCCCAAAGAACCCAGGACAAAGAGGTCCACCCTGCCTCACCTCCCGCCACCCTGCCCCAGCAAGCAGGCCCAGCTAGAAATCTGGAAGATACTTACTTATTATGGGGCAGCCTGGAGCACAAGGTTCTCAGGTCATCTGCAATTAAGGAGATATAAGATTAACAAACATACTGGAGACAACATGGTGAAATACACACTGATGTTCAAGGATGCCAGCAAGACAGCAAGAGTGCTTCACACTACATTTCCCTAGTGTTTGGAAACTGAGTTCTGGCTGGGCGTGGTGGCTTATGCCTGTAATCCCAGCACTTTGGGAGGCTGAGGCAGGTGGATCACTTGAGGTCAGGAGTTTGAGACCAGCCTGTCCAACATGGTAAAACCCAGTCTATACTAAAAACACAAAAATGGTGGTAGGTGCCTGTAATCACACCTACTTGGGAGGCTAAGGTAGGAGAATTGCTTAAACCTGGGAGCGGGAGGTTCCAATGAGCCAAGATCGAGCCACTGCACTCCAGCCTGGGCAACAGAGCAAGACCTAGTCTCAAAAAAAAAAAAAAAAAAAAAAAAAAATCTGGGTTTTCCTTGTCTTCAATTTTTGCTTTAAAAAACCCATCCCCCAAGGCTGGGTGCAGTGGGTCATGCCTGTAATCCCAGTACTCTGGGAGGCCGAGGCAGGCGTATCACGAGGTCAAGAGTCTGAGACCAGCCTGACCAACATGGTAAAACCCCATCTTTACTAAAAATACAAAAATTAGCCTGTAATCCCAGCTATATAGGATGCTGAGGCAGGAGAATCACCTGAACCCAGGAGGCAGACATTGGAGTGAGCTGAGATCACATCACTGCACTCCAGCCTGGAGGACAGAGCAAGACTTTGTCTCCAAAAAGAAAAGAAAAGAAAACAAAACAAAAAAATTCCCCAAACAAAAAATGACACTTAGGAAAGGAGGTAGCCCTGCTGGCAGTTTGTCAGATGCCTGGAAAAAGCCCAGAGGCGGGGCTCTCTCTGGGCATTCAAGCACCCAAGGCATTCTAAGAGAAGCAATAACATGAGAAAACCAGGACCATCCCTTGGCACCAGAGGCAACGCTTTTTAGTGAATCAGTTGTTAGAAAGCAAACCCAAGCGTGCCATTAGCACCATATCATTATCCAGGGAGAGTCCAAGCACTGAAATGCAGGAGAATTAAGGAACCCTCAAAACAGGCTATAAGGCCTGGCGCAGTGGCTTCTGCCTGTAATGCCAACACTTTGGGAGGTCAAGGCAGGAGGATCGCTTCAGACCAGGAGGTTGAGACCAGCCTGAGCAACATAGTGAGACTTCATTTTTACAAAAAATATAAAAATTAGCAAGGTGTGGCAATACGTGCCTGTAGTCTTAGCTACTCAGGAGGCTGAGGTGAGAGGATGGCTTGAGCCCAGGAGGCCGAGGCTGCAGTGAGCTGTGATCGTGACACTGCCCTCCAGCCTGGGCAACAGAGCAAGACTGTCAAAAAAAAAAAAAAAAAGCAGGGGGAGCTGGGCACAGTGGCTCACACCCTGTAATCCTAGCCCTTTGGGAGGCTGAAGCAGGCGGATCATGAGGTTAGGAGTTTGAAACCAGCCTAGCCAACATAGTGAAACCCCATCTCTACTAAAAATACAAAAACTAGCTGGGCATGATGTGTGCCTGTAATCCTAGCTACTTGTGGAGGCTGAGGCAGAAAAACCGCTTGAACCTGGGAGGAGGAGGTCACAGTGAGCCGAGATGGTGCAACTGCACTCTAGCCTGGGCAACAAGAATAAAACTTTGTCTCCAAAAAAAAAAAAAAATTAGCTAGGTATGGTGACACACACTTGTAGTCCCAGCTACTCTGTGACTGAGGCACAGGACTACTTGAGCCCAGGAGTTGGAGGCTATGGTGAGCTATGATCATGCCACTGCATTCCAGCCTGGGTGACATAGCGAGAGACCCTGTCTCATAAAAATAAAGAGAAATGAAAATAAAAAAGGTCACTGAAAAAGAAAAACGGGACTGGGCAAGGTGGCTCACGCTTGTAATCCCAGCACTTTGGGAGGCCGAGGTGGGTGGATCACGAGGTCAGGAGTTCAAGACAATCCTGGCCGACATAGTGAAACCGTCTCCACAAAAATACAAAAATTAGCTAGGTGTGGTGGCGGGCACCTATAGTCCCAGATACTCGGGAGGCTGAGGCAAGAGCATTGCTTAACCCAGGAGATGGGAGGTTGCACTGAGCTGAGATCACACCACTGCACTCCAGCCTGGATAACAGATTAAGACTCCATCTCAAAGAATAATAAATAAAATAAAATAAAAAAGGGTTCTCCGGAAGGAAAGCTATCCAGGCTCTCGAGGAGTCCCCAGTCCTGGGCGACAGTGAACCCCCCCCGTCTGTGGGATATTAGGACCCTGCTGGGGTGAGCAAGGAGAGTGGAGTGCCAGGGGCATGGCTGGGGCCCCTTCCTCCTGTGTTCACCAAGATGAAAAGAAGTCCTAAATGAAGCAAAACAAGCAAAACAGTGTCTGTCCAGCGGCCCCTTTCCTTCTTCGGGGCAGTGGAGGCCTGGGCCAGGGAGGCACCCACCTCTCGTGCACAGCAGAGCTCCTGAGGCCATAGCCACCTGCAGAGCCTGCGCCAGCCGGTCCAGCGAGAGCTCAATCTCCTGGGAGGCGTTGAGGGGGTTCAGTTCATCTGCCAACCTATTGATCTCCTCGACCAGTGGGACCATGTGGTCAAACAGGATCAGGCCCAGGCGCCCATAAAGATTCTTCTCAGTCAGGTGCAGCTGCAGCGTCATGAGGACCTGGAGGACGCTGAGGTGGAGCTTTGAGTACAAGAGGTGGGAGTCTCTGTCCATTCCCACGCCCGGGTCCTTTGCGACCTTGTTGCTGACATGGCCATTGGTTAAAGGGGGCTTCTTTTTCCTTTTATAAGCCAGGGGCGCCTTCACGCACCAGCGGATCAATCCAACAAGCGGGGTGAGCTCTAAGAATCCTATTGGCAGATTGGCTGCAATCGGAGTATTTAAAAAAGTGATGAGAATCAACCTTGGGTCCTCAAAAATCCAGTTGACAATCATTTCAAGCAAGTCCATAGGTGGGATGAGGTCATCTGCAAACAAAGACCATTAGGTCAGGAGCGCTCTTGGCCTCGAGAACAGGGGCAGGAAGTGGAGACAAGGAAGCAGGGCTCCAGGGCTCATGGCACTGCCCACCTGATGGTCCGATCACGCTTCCGGGCTTAGCTATTTTCTGTCTCCTTTCCTAGAACGTCCACTCCACGGAGACTGGAACTGTCGTCTTAGTCAACGTTATATCCCAGTGCCCAGGACTCTGGGGCAAGGGAGAGGCTCCAGAAATACCTAACTCTACAATTCCCGGGAACTCCATGCTTTGGAGAAATTTCCTCCTGCATGTTAATTTACATAAAATTCCAAACTTTTTATATCCCATACTGCCACACGTCACCCCTTCCCTCCTATGTATCCTCCCTGCATTCAGCGTCTGTATGGGACAGTGACAGCACAGCAATGGTGGCCTTCAGGGAGCAGCTCAGAGTCCTGTCAGTCATCTGTCAGCTGCCAAGGGCTGTCCCAACCCCAAATCTAGAACCCTCATCTAAGCAACCATCAGAGATGTGATCCCTCAGACCTGGCAGGCTCTGCGGCCACGACAGAGAAGAACAGGTGGTGACACTCTGGGCTTCCTATGAGCCCGGCACAGATCTCAATCCTTTACACAGATGACCTCGTCTAACCCTCCAAACCCCAACTATTATCTCATACAAAGGACAAGGAAAATGAGGCACAGTCACGTCAAGTGATTTCCCAGGATTCATCAAAAGTATGTGGCCCAGGTTCATACCTATAATCCCAGCACTTTGGGAGGCCAAGGCAGGAGGATCACTTGAGTTCAGGAGTTCAAAATCAGCCCTGGAAACATAGTGAGACCCAGTATCTACAAAAATTCTTAAAAATCGGCCAGGAGTGGTGGTGCACACCTATATTGCCAGCTATTCAGGAGGCTAAGGTACGAAGATCACTTGAGCCTGGGAGGTCTAGGTTGCAATCAGCTACGGATGTCCCACTGTACAACAGCCTGAACAACAAAGTGAGATCCTGTCTCAGAAAACAAAACAAAACAAAACAAAACAAAACAAAACAAAACAAAACAAAACCAAACCAAACCAAACCAAACCAAACCAAACCACAGCATATGGCCCAGATCTGACCTCAGCAGCCTGGTAAGGCTACTGCTAATCCGGGGCTTGGTGTACAACACCCTTAGGCTGGCTGTGTGCACAGGAGTGGGCCTTCAGCCTCCTCTCTCAAGCCATGCCCCCGACCTGAGATGATTCCTGCCAACAGTTGGAGTATGAACTGCCCCAGCCACCTCTGCAGGGAGACGATGGCTACAGCAGGGAGCAGCTGCTGTCCTGTGTGCGTGGTTTTTTTTTTTTTTTGAGATGGAGTCTTGCTCTGTCGCCCAGACTGGAGTGCAGTGGCGTGATCTTGGCTCACTACAACCTACGCCTCCCAGGTTCAAGTGATTCGCCTGCCTCAGCCTCCTGAGTAGCTGAGACTACAGGTGCATGCCACCACACCCAACTAATTTTTGTATGTTTAGTAGAGACGGGGTTTCACCACATTGACCAGGCTGGTCTTGACCTCCTGACTTCAGGTGATCCACCTGCCTCGGCCTCCCAAGTGCTGGGATGTCGGGCATGAGCCACAGCGCCCGGCTATGTGTGCAGCCTCTTGATTCCATGGAGATGTTTCTGTCTGGGCAATGCCAGGGTCCTGCCACCTCTCCAGTGTATCCCTGCCCCCCTCAGATAGGAGCTGAGGAATCACCACCAGCCTGTAGGCAGAGTGTGTACATGTGTGTGCACGCATGCACCTGTGCAGGCATGCCCTCAGCACACATATCAGAATGTGCACTTTGTGAGTCCTCAGTCTCCACCCGCTGCCTTAGAGTCCCATATTCTTAGCACCATTCGGGAAAGAGGAGATATTATTACGTGGGTATCTTCCTTTTTGTGGTATTGAAGACATAGGCTCCCCAAGAATGCTCTCCTATTACTGAAGTGACCAAGCGTGGCTTCCATCACCATTCTGATGGCGACATCCAGGGTCACTGCTGTGTGGCAGTGACTTGAGAAATCACCAACACCTCAACTGCCACACTGGCTTATGAGAAAAACACTGTGTCTCAGAGCTGCTCTGGTGTGTCAGTGCTATTCTTGAATATTCTTTCCTGTTCCATATGCTAACTCATCCCTTCCCAATGGTAAGGCCAATTTCTGTACTCACTGGACTGGAATAACCAATGACTTAAAAGGCAGGTTGGATTCGGTGGCTCATGCATATAATCCCAGCACTCTGGGAGGCTGAGGCAGGGAGATCACTTGAGGTCAGGAGTTTGAGACTAGCCTGGCCAACAGGGTGAAACCCCAACTCCAATAAAATACAAAAATTAGCCAGACATGGTGGTGCACGCCTGTAGCCCCAGCTACTTGGGAGGCTGAGGCAGGAGAATCTCTTGAACCCGGGAGGCAGAGGCTGCAGTGAGCTGAGATCACACCACTGCACACCAGCCTAGGTGACAGAGTGAGGCTCATTCTCAAAAAAATAAAAAAGAGGAGGCAACTATGATGCCATAGCTGGCTTCAGTGAAATCTTTCCTATTGCCTGAATGCCACTCCCAGCTGTTAACAGCTCCTAGGAAGACTTTGGAGGAGAGAACCAGGGGAAACCCCACTGTGGCAGCGTGGCACTGCTCCGCAAGGCCTGCCTCCCATTCTGCAGGCAAACTGCGATGAAAAGGAGTAGGAAATTAGCATATGAAATGGCATGCACTTGCATGTTCACAATATTTCCACACAAAGTTTCTCAAGAAAGCTAAAACGCCGAACAACAACAAAAAAGGTGGCCAGGCTCAGTGGCTCACACCTGTACTCCCAGCACTTTGAGAAGCTGAGGTGGGTGGATGACCTGAGGTCAGGAGTTCAAGACCAGCCTGGCCAACATGGTGAAACCCCATCACTACTAAAAATACAAAAATTAGCCAGGTGTGGTGGTGCACACCTATAATCCCAGCTACTTGGGAGGCTGAGACAGGAGAATCACTTGAACCCAGGAGGCAGAGGTTGTGGTGAGTCAAGATTGTGCCACTGCACTCCAGCCTGGGCAACAGAGTGAGATTCCTCAAGGAAAAGAAAAAGGGTAACAGATAAAAGGCTAAAAAATGGTCAGGAGGCTGGCAAGAGACCAACACTGGACTAAATAAAAACGACAGACGCTCAAGGCTTTCAAACTGCCAGTTTGGCTATCAGACCATGAAGAGAAAGAGACTATCTGTCAGCCTGTGAGCAGCAAGAGCCAAGGGTAGAGGAGGAGGAAACCAAAACAGCAGCAGAAAAGCAGGTTTTGGTAGCTGGGCGTGGTGGCGTGTGCCCAGAGTCCCAGCCACCTGAGAGGCTGAGATGGGAGGATCACTTAAACCCAAGAGTTTGAGGCTACAGTGAGCTATGACTACACCACCGTATTCCAGCAGCCTGTGCAACAGAGCAAGACTCTGTATCCAAAAAAATAAAAAAATTAAACTAGGGGAATGATAAAAAATCAGTCATATGTCCAGGGAGTAGGTCACGCCTCACCAGACACCAGACTCTCACTTTCTGGGCTGTCTGCCACTTGGACCACTGCACCTGAGGCAAATGGGTATCACTAAGGATAGTTCCATCTTAGCCAACTGCACTGCACACATCCAGGTGGCCCACAACTTTAGCTTTTGGCCTAAATTAAAAACACACATGGCCAGGCGTGGTGGCTCACGCCTGTAATTCCAGCATTTTGGGAGGCTGAGGCAGGTGGATCACTTGAGGTCAGGGGTTCCAGATCAGCCTGGCCAACATAGTGAAACCCCGTCTCTACTAAAAATTTTTTTTTTTTTTTTTTTTTTGAGACGGAGTTTCACTCATGTTACCTAGGCTGGAGTGCAATGGCGCGATCTCGGCTCACCACAACCTCCGCCTCCTGGCTTCAGGCAATTCTCCTGCCTCAAGCCTCCTGAGTAGCTGGGATTACAGGCACGCATCACCATGCCCAGCTAATGTTTTGTATTTTTAGTAGAGACGGGGTTTCACCATGTTGACTAGGATGGTCTCGATCTCTTGACCTCGTGATCCACCCGCCTTGGCCTCCCAAAGTGCTGGGATTACGGGCTTGAGCCACCGCGCCCGGCCTTCTAAAAATATTTTTAAAAATTGGCAAGGTGTAGTGGTGCATGTCTGTAGTCCTAGCTACTCAGAGGGTGAGGCAGGAGAATTGCTTGAACCCTGGAGACAAGAGGTTGCAGTGAGCCGAGATTACACCACTGCACTCCAGCCTGGGAGACAGGCACCATCTCAAAAAATAATAAAAATAAAACTACACATTTCAGAAACAAAATGGCCAAAGCATTCACTGGATGCGTCCCCTGGATATTCAGCGGAAAATAAAACTGAGGCCACCAGCTGAAGCTTCTTTCACAGAAATAACCTGTTTGAAGTTTACCTGACGACAGGTCATAGAGTGCAGTAACAGAGGTGATGAACTGGCAGCAGAATCTCGGGCTGGCACTGAATATCTGCTTCAGCGTCTGAATGGATCCTGGCACCAAACAACAGTAGTCATCCACGAGGGCCTTGGCTAACCTCACACAGTAGAGCACAGGCGTCCGCTGGAAAGAAGCCACAGTTCACGTCACTACAGGTGTTGTGAGTAGACCAGCAACTATGCACATGAGGTGTCCACCACCAGAACTGGCAGAACCACTTCCAAGACAGGAAAAGGTGTTAATGTGGCTGGGCACAGTGGTTCACGTCGGTAATCCCAGCCCTTTGAGAAGCCGAGGCGGAAGGATCACCTGAGGTCAGGAGTTCGAGACCAGCCTGGCCAACATGGAGAAACGCTGTCTCTATTTAAAATGCAAAATTAGCTAGGCATGGTGGAGCATGCCTGTAATCCCAGCTACTTAGGAAGCTGAGGCATGGGAGTTGCTTGAAGCCAGGTGGCGAAGGTTGCAGTGAGCCGAGATCACGTCACTGCACTCCAGCCTGGGCAAGAAGAGCAAAACTCCATCTCAAAAAAAAAAAAAAAAAAAGATATTAAAGGCTTACTCTGAAGCAGCAGTGGGCAATCTAAAGCCACTGACCAGACTGGGTACGATAGCTCATGCCTATCATCCCAACATTTTGGGAGGCCAAGGCAGGAGGATCACTCTAGCCCAGGAATTCCAGACCAGCCTGAGTAAAATAGCAAAAACCTATCTCTATAGCAAATTAAAAATTTAGTCGGGTGTGGTGGCACACACCTGTAGTCCAGCTACTCAGGAGACTGAGGTAGGAAGATCACTTGAGCCTGGGGAGGGTGAGGTTGCGGCGAGCCCCATGGTCACACCACTGCACTCCAGCACGAGCAACAGAGCAAGACCATCTTGCACACACACAAAAAGTCCACAGACCAAATCTGTCCCACCTGTTTTTGTAAACAAAATTTCACTGAGACATGATCATGCTTATTCGTTTGCCTACTGCCTAAAACTGTTCTTGTGCTAGAAGGGCAGAGGTGATCAGCTGTGAAAGAGACTACATGACCTGCAAAGCCTAAGCTATTTCACTGTCTTACCCTTTAAATAAAACATCTATCAACTTTTTTTTTTTTTGAGATGGAGTTTCGCTCTTGTTGCCCAGGATGGAACACAGTGATGGGATCTCAGCTCACTGCAATCTCCGCTTCCCAGGTTCAAGTGATTCTCCTGTCTCAGCCTCCAGAGTAGCTGGGATTACAAGGTGCCCACCCCCACCACCACGCCTGGCTAATTTTATATTTTTAGTAGAGACAGGGATTCTCCATGTTGGTCAGGCTGGTCTTGAACTCCTGACCTCAGATTATTTGCCCACCTTGGCCTCTCAAAGTGCTGGGACTGTAGGCGTGAGCCACCACACGAAGCCTGTCAACTCTTGCTTTACAGTTTACTTAGGAAATGCCATTTCTGCTTTCAGGTGAGGAAACCACAACTTTTGTAACCCTACAGGACACCAGGTGAAACGCCACAGGTAAAAATTAATAGTTGCTATCACATTTAAGAGATTCAGGAGAGTCTGTGAACTATCAATGATGAAAATGTTGGTTTGCAGCAGTACTCGCTAAATTACTCTTAAAATCCTATTATTAGGCTGGATACAACGGTTCATGCCTATAATCCCGGCACTCTGGGAGGCTGAGGTGGAGGCAGGAGGATCATTTGACCTCAGTAGCTCATAACCAGTCTGGACAACATGGTGAAACTCTCTCTACAAAAAATACAAAAATTAGCCAGACATGGTGGTGTGTACCTGTGGTGCCGGCTATTCAGGGGACTGAGGCAGGAGGACGGCTTGAGCCCAGGAGGCGGAGGTTGTAGTGAGCTAAGACAGAGCCACTGCACTCCACCCTGGCGGACAGACTGAAACCCTGTCACCAAAAAAAAAAAGGAAAGAAAGAAAGAAACACACCACCCTCATTTAAAACAAATAAAAAAAATTTTTTTTTGAGACCTAGTCTCATTCTGTCACCCAGGCTGGAGTGCAGTAGTGCGATTTTAGCTCATGGCAACCTCCACCTCCCAGGTTTACACAATTCTCCTGCCTCAACCTCCCAGGTGGTTGGGACCACAGGTGCATGCCACCACACACGGCTAATTTCTGTATTTTTAGTAAAGATGGGGTTTTACCACGTTGGCCAGGCTGGTCTCCAACTCCTGACCTCAAGTGATCTGCCCCCCTCAACCTCCCAAAGTGCTAAGATTACAGGTGTGAACCACCAAGCATGGCCTAAAAAAATGGCAATTAAGAAAAAAGACCACTCCAGAAATCCAATTGAGAATTCAGAACAGCAAACTCCTCTTGAGAGAGGCAGGGGGAGGCACTTGCACGCGCGCTCTCTCTCTTTTTTTTTTTCTTTTTTGAGACGGAGTCTTACTTTGTCACCCTGGCTGGAATGCAATGGCATCATCTCGGCTCACTGTAACCTCTACCTCCCAGGTTCAAGTGATTCTCCTGCCTTAGCCTCCTAAATAGCTGGGATTACAGGCATGCACCACCAAGCTCAGCTAATTTTGTATTTTTAGTAGAGACAGGGTTTCAACATGTTGGTAAGGCTGGTCTCGAACCCCTGACCGCAAGTGATCCACCTGCCTCAGCCTCCCAAAGAGCTGGGATTACGGGCGTGAGACACCCGGCCAGGCCGAGGCTCTCTCTTGAGCAGTACCTGCAGCCAGGAAGCCGCACACTCCAACACCGGGATTCGACACACAGCCACCGCCATGGAGACCAACTTTCCCAACAGGCTCATCCGGCTGTCATCGGCTTTGTTCCCTTGAGGGCTGAAAAGGGATGAAAAAATAATCTGCCGAACTGAGTCCTTGGTTTGCTCCTGGAAATAATTGCACATGATTTCAAGAAGTTGAAGCTCCTGCAGTGAATTCAGTCTCTGCAAAACAAATCCAGGAAAAACGTTAAGAAATGTGGCTGTAACGTACTTATTAAGTCATATATTAAGAAAACAGGAAATAGGCCACATGTGGTGGCTCACGCCTGAATCCCAGCACTTTAGGAGACAGAGGTGGGCGAATCCTAAGGTCAGGAGTTCGACCAGCATGGCCAATACAGTGAAACTCCATCTCTACTAAAAATACAAAAAGTTAGCTGAGCATAGTGGCAGGCACCTGTAATCCCAGCTACTCGGGAGGCTGAGACAGGAGAACTGCTTGAACCTGGGAGACAGAGGTTGTAGTCAGCCGAGATCACACCTGCTGCACTCCCACCGGGTGACAGAGGGAGACTCCGTCTCAAAAAAAAAAAAAAAAAAAAAAAAGAAAACAGGTGATAACAGTATCCCCCCCACCCCACAGAACTTTTCACCCTTCGTGAAGCTCAGTTCTCAGAGAGTAGATCTTTGCTGTTAATCTTAGACAAAAGTCATGCAGGCCTGGCGTTGTGGCTCACGCCTGTAATTCCAAATTTAATCCCAGGGTTGAGACCCCAGAGTCTGAGACCCCAGGAGTCTGAGATCAGCCTGGGTAACACAGGGAGGCCCCATCTCTACAAAACATTCAAAAATTAGCTGGGCATGGGGATACATGCCTGTAGTCCCAGCTACTCAGGGAGCTAGCTGACACGGGAGGATTTCTGGAGCCCAGGAGTTGAAGGTTGTAGTGAGCTGTGATTGCACAACTACACTCCAGCCCAAGTAAGAGAGTGAGACCTTGTCTCAGAAAAAAAAAAAAAAAAAAAAAAAAAACCGAGAGAGAGAGAAAAAGGAAACGAAAAGATGTAAGGAGAAAGCCATACAGATTATTATCCATCCTCCTGGAGGGCTCAGGATGACCCAGAGCGGCTTGAGCCTCTCGGTAAAGCCCAGCAGACCTCTAGGGAGCGGGCAGTTGCCAGAATTTGTCCCTCTAACACCGAGACTCGGCTGTCACACGCCCCGCAGAGTGGACAGGCAGCTGAGCCACACTGCAGGACCCGGAGAGGGGTTGGGGGCTGCAGCAGGAGCGAGGCCGAGAGTGAGCGCGGGTCTCCTGGACGCGGGACGCCCGGGGCTTGACACAACCCTGAATTGCCGGGGAAAGGGCCCTCCCGCCTGCCTGCGGGGCCCGAGCACCCGACCGTCTCGGGCCGCACCTTGGGCTGCGCGCTGCGCTCCTTGGGCACCTGGAACACGAACTCCTCCAGCAGCTCCACAGGGCCCTTGTCCACGATGGGCAGCGGTGCGCTCTGCAGCTGGCTGCTGAAGTAGATGTCCAGGTGGTACAGCACCTCCTTGGCCGCGCTTAGCGCGTCGCGGCGCAGCAGCGAGTGGCGGATGTCGCTCATGGTGCGGTCGCCACGGCCCCCGCGCCGAGCGCGTCTCACTTCCGCCCGGGGCCCGGGGTTGCGCCGCTGCCCGTGGAGACAAAGAGGCGCGACCCAAGCCTCCGCCCCGACCCCAGGCCTGGGCCGCGGCACCCGCCCGCTGGCCCGCCTGCCGCTGCCTGCTCCCCGCTCCCTCCCTGCTCAGGGCGCCATCGCCGCCGCCGCCGCCGCCGCCGCCGCTGCCGCCACCGTCGCCAGCAAGCGAACACCCGAAGGTCCGACTGCGGCGCCGCTGGGAGCCGCCGCCGCGCAGCCGAAAGACGGCGAATGCCAGGCGCGGAGACGGCGGCCCGCAGGGGCCAAGCGCAGGCCCGGCCCAGGAGCGCTCTCCGGAGGGCGACCCCTGGCGGCGCTGGCGATGAAGGGCGCGCCGCGGCCCCAGGTGGACCCCGCCCCCAGGCCCCAAGCCCGCCCTCGCCTTCGGAATCTGCCCAACCGCCGAGGCAAGCCCGCTATGCCTTGCCCAGACTCCCTCGCGGGCTCTGCGTCGCGTTCAGAGCCGCCGCTGGTTGATTTCACTGTGCTTTCCACCACCAGGAAGGATGCGGGGTGGTGTCCGGCTTTGGCTTAACCCAGCGGACTTGGGTTCCCTGGCCGCCCCAGCTACCGGTCTTCAAGTTTCCATCTGTTCTCAGCTGGGAGAGCTGAGAACAGCTCTCCTTGCCCCTTGCCCCTGACTCCCACTTCCTGACCTCTCTGGCTGCTGGCTCCTTGGCCTAGCAGGTGCAGAACACCTGCTCCCTGCTCCTCAGAGCCCTCCTGTTGAGGAACATTAAGTTTAGCCTGCCCCCATGGTTCCCATGTGGAAGATACTTTTAGTTTGTAATTAGTGGTAGGCAGGTAACAGCTGCCTACTTGGTATATTCTTATGTGTATATGTAGAACACTTGTGTATTAATGAGAGTCACCTGTCAAAGAGCACATACGTGGATGAAAATCTGCTGGGAGCCCTGTCTGGAAAGCTGTCAGCCCCGTAGGCTCTCAGGCTGTTTGTCCCCAGGATAGATCCACTCTGTAGTGCTGTCTGGGTGTCTGCCTCTCAGATACCTTCAGCCCACCTGGAGGGGGTCTCCCAACCAAGCTGGTTCTCAGTGCCCTCCCACTCAAAAGACCTTCTGCACTAAGACCCCTTTTCTGGCTATCATCTCTCCTCTCTGAACTAGGTGGCAGTTCACTTTCACAATTTTTAAACTGGGCAAAAAGGACTTGAATATGGCCAGAGGAGGGCAGGCAGGAGGCCACACATGCAGGAATGTCCTGGTGTACAAGGCCATACTGGGCCGGAAGGCAGGCCTGGTTGAGGACACTCTGTTGTTGAGATGAAAATCCCCTGGGGGAAGAGAGGCGAATAGAGAAGGCATAAAAGAGGAGTACAGCTAGGCATAATGTGCAGACACTGAGTCAATGAGACCCTCCTGCACTTCAGAGACAGGTCAGAGACACGGCCACAAGCCCCTCCTGTCCACATGCCCAGAGTTTAGAGACACCAAGGTCTCAGCGTCACCTGGAACCACTGAGAAGTTATATCTTGATCTCCTTGACACTAGGACTTCAGAGATGCCAAGTTTCAAAAGAAGGTAAGCAAGGGGGATTCCTCCCACCACACTGGCAAAGATGAGGCACTCAATCAACACTCATTTTCCCCTCTCCCTTGCCGACCGAAAGTGACTGATAAGCACAGCAGAAATCAAAACAAGCCATGCTCGGAAAACGAGCAAATCCACATGTGTAAATAAATGGGAACTACAGCTCAAAGGCAGTCACACACTTGTCATTCTTGTTTCTTCCTCTCATGATATGGAAAGGCAGGTAGAAAGATCTCTTGAAGGTTGCTCCGAAGCCCATGGGAGTGAATGTTCTGGTGGACCTGGGGTTCTGCTGACGGACGCTGGGCCACAAGGGGACAATGCCAGCACCAGGCTCCGTCACCTCTGTGCCACTCGTTAGTAGTCTGGTTGGTAGCCGCCAGGTACACAGCAAAGCACAGGTAGCCACCCAGGAGGAAGCTCAGGACCATAACAAAGCCCAGCATGAAGACAATCCGTGGAAAGGTCAGGAACAGGTACTAGGGGCAGAGAAACAGCAGTGCTGGACTGTGACATCCATGAGGGTGAATACCCGCCAACCCTGGTCCTGCCCAGCCACCAGCGCTGCTTCCTCAGCCCACCTACCTGTGTCCAAATGTGACAAACTGAACATAAACAGCTGACAAGCAGCCCAGGAATAATCCCAGTACATACAAGTTTCCTATGGGATGAATGAAGTGGTCACACGCAGGGAGAAGGGAAAGTTTACTCAGGAAATGTGCTATTCCAGTTAGCTAGCTATAAAAGAATGCAGACTTCATTCATCAAAACAAAATCCAGATGGACAAAAGAGATCAATGTCTTAAAACAAAATACAACCCCAAAAATAGATGTACAAGGATATTCATTGTATCACTGATTTTATCAGCCCCTCTTCCCAAAAGAAACAAGATTTTTTTTTTTTTTTTTTTTTTAATAAAGAGAAACCGGGGCCAGGCAGGGTGGCTCACACTTGTAATCTCAGCACTTGAGGAAGCCAAGGTGAGCAGAACACTTGAGGTCAGGAGTTTGACACCAGCCTGGCCAACATGGCCTTCTCTACTAAAAATATAAAAATTAGCCAGGGGTGGTGGCACATGCCTGTAATCCCAGTTATTCAGGAGGCTGAGGCAGGAGAGTCGCTTGAACCTGGGCGGTGAAGGTTACAATGAGCTGAGACTGTGCTACTGCACTCTAGCCTAGGCAACACAGTGAGACTCCATCTCAAAAAATAAAAATAAAAAATAGGCCAAGCGTGGTGGCTCATGCCTGTAATCCCAGCACTTTGGAAGGCTGAGGTGGGTGAATCACGAGGTTGGGAGTTCAAGACCAGCCTGGCCAACATGGTGAAACCCCGTCTCTAAAGGTAAAATAAAATAAAAAATCAGGAGAAACAGGGTCTTGCGGCCAGGCGTGGTGGCTCATGCCTGTAATCCCAGCACTTTGGGACCCCGAGGCAGGCAGATCACCTGAGGTCAGGAGTTTGAGACCAGCCTGACCAACATGGAGAAACTCTGTCTCTACTGAGAATACAAAATTAGCTGGGCATGGTGGCCTGTAATCCCAACTACTGGGGAGGCTGAGGCAGGCTTCAATAAGCTGAGATCGCACCATTGCACTCCAGCCTGGGCAACGAGAGCAAAACTCCATCTTAAAAAAAAAAGAAACAAAGAAAAAAACAGGGTCTTGCTCTGTTGCCCAGGCTGCTTTCAAACTCCTGGCCTCAAGTGATCTTCCCGCCTTCGCCTCCCAAATTGTTGGAATTACAGGTGTAAACCACCGTACCTTGTGAAGAAACAAGTTAACTGTCCATCCATCAGGAAGGGTAACACTCTGGGATGGTCACACAATGGGAAAAAAAGGAGCTATTAAAAATGATGTCAATTTCTATGTACTGACTCTGAAAAGATTTAATATATTGACTAATGAGAAAGGTGAGATGCAAGGATTACACTGTGATCTTGTTTGGGTAAAAAAAAACTGGCTGTGTCAGTGGTGTGTGACGACAGGAACAGGGCTGCTTAAAGTTTTCTAAGTTATTTTTGCAATAAGCAAAATGAAGAATTTAGAAAGTTTAATATTTTTGAAAGTGACAAGAGAACATTTAACAAAACTCTTGAAGGAGGAGACTTTCTAGGTGAAGTTACAAAGAAGAGAGATTTGATGAGAAAGAATGTCTAAACTTTTCTATACCAAAAAAACCCCTAAAAACCTAAAACCCCATTCCCAAGATCCAAAAGAACCACAAAGAGAAAACCAATATAACAAAAGACTGTCATTATTACATAAAAACTTCAAATCAAAAGTTATTCTGGACCAGTCATGCTGGCTCACACCTATAACCCCAGCACTTAGGGAGACCAAGGTGGGGGCACTTGAGCTCAGGAGTTCCAGGTTATAGTGAGCTGTGATGATACCACTGCACTCCAGCCTAGGTGACAGAGTGAGACACTGTCTTTGAAAGAAAAAAAAAAGTTACCATACGACCCAGCAATTCCAGTCCTAGGTGAATTTACCCAAGAGAAGTAAAAACATATGTCCATACAAAAAACTTGAATGTTCATAGCAGTATTATTCAAAAATAGCCAAAAACTGAAAACACCAAAATGTCCATCAACTGATGAACAAATAAATAAAATTTGGTCTATCCATACAATGGAACGCTATTCAGTCATTAAAAAAAAAAAAAAA